CAAGAGTTGGCGGTGGGTGGTGATGACTAGCTGCCTTACACTTCTAAATTAGGGACGGCTAGTAAATGGAGAGATCAAGAAAAACAGAAAGCGAGAAAATTAAAGTAAAGAGATAAGAAAAGTTTGGTGTAGTTAAGACCAAAGCTAAACAATAGGATATCTATGCTATGCCCACCACGGGTATCGAAACCGGATTTTTAGCGTCATAAGCCTGCAGACTTACCGCTGAGCCACTAGGAGGCATTTAAGAAAGTAATTACAGGAACGGTGCATACGATTTACAGAAAACGTATGAACCTAGATTAGTTTGATGAAAAACCATAAGTGTGGTACAGAAGGATTATAATAACAAAATTGAAGAATTGAAAAAAAGGACATCGGCGAAGTGGAGGGGATGACAACAAGATTAAAGAAGCACCAAATGACATCAATGCCAAGATAAAACATTTGGAAAAAAACTCGTAAATGCATCTGCTAAAGAATGTCTACCTCAAACACTATTAATCCACCTTATCTACACCTGTTAACAACATTGGTGTACTACTTATCACTGCAGGACTTTCCTGAACTACATCACTACTTCCTCAATTTAGAAGTATAGTAAACCAGTTCAATAACATCATCCAATCGAGAAACCAGCAGATTATGATGGAATGGTACCATGGGAGGAATATCAGTTACAGTTTGATATAATTTCCAACGTGAATTTCCACACTTAAAAAAAACAACTTTAACAACATTAAGTAATTTTCCACCAGAGAGCCGTCACAACTACCAAGCATTAGTGACAACCTTATCAAATAGATTTTACAAAGTTTAAGAGTAGAACTTGCTGAAGATATAGGTAGGCTTGCCCAGTTATCTTACCAGATGTTCCACGTGAAATGATGGATTCGTTTGCACGAGACCTATTTACAGATTCTGTAATGGATGAGGATGTGCGAATTAGGCTAAATCAGAGTAAACGTACATGTTTAAAGGAAGTTGTCCAGTTAATAATGGAACTTTAATCAATTAAAGTCGCATATAAACAACTACAAGCATCATCGAGAAATTATGAGCTTATCAGACAGGTCAAAACCTAGACTTCTATTTAAACTTCCTATTTCTCTAATTTATATAATTTGAGCAGTAGCGTATGACGTCACTCGTGACATCGTCTGGTTAGTAATGGTATCGTAAAGTATAGTTGCATTTAGCCGCCGTTAATCAAACTTAAAAAGGAAATTATTTTACGTTTAATCAGAGATAGAGAGAGAATTGTTGTACGTTTAATCAAGGTTAGCGATTTTATGGCACACAGAATTCATTATTGTTACCTCATGGAGGGAAAGAAAACAAAAGGGTCAGGCAGGATGTGGATGATAAGGAGGTTATAGCTCCAGGTGATTCCTTGATAAGGCATGTAGATAGAATAGTCTGTGGGGTAAAAAAAGGAGAAAAGAATCAGATTATGCTACCCAGGGGTACAGGTGGAAGATATAACTGACAGAGCAAGAGATATAACAAAGGGGGCTAGCAGAGATGCAGTTTTTGTGGTGTATGTAGGGGCTAATGATAAAGGAAAAGGTAGGTCAGAGGAGCTAATTAATAAGTATAAGGGGTTGATAAAGGCACTTAAA